TTCTTAATCACTGAGCCACATTCCCAGTACTTTTTCTTTATATTTTTTACTTTGAGATAGGATATTGCTAAGTTGATTAGGGTCTTGCCAAGTTGATGAGGCTGGCTTTGAATTTGTAATCCTCCTACCTCAGACTCCTGAGTTGCTGAGATTACAGGTGTGCACCACCATGCCTGGCCATTTTTATATTCTTAGAATTATCATGTTTGCTGTTGCCTGTATCTGAAAGGTTCTCATCTAAATTGTTCCAAGGACTACCTATCACCAACTTTCAGGTTTCCACTCAAATAGTAACTTCTCAGAGATGTATTTGAATGCAACAAATTACTTCTATCCACTTACCCCATAAACCTGACTTAGTTGTTATGGTATTTACTACCAGAGTAACACAATTGACTTAGTTGCCTGCATGTTTATCATCTGTCTCCATTAAAACGTAAGCACTATGAAAACAGGAACTTTGTTATTTGCCACATTCTTGGTGAGTTCTTAGAATAATATCATACTCAGAGTAGTTATAATAATACATGATTAATGAATAAATCCTATCACACTATCTTGAGTAGAAGGTTCAGTAGGCTGTTGGCATCTGTGGATTTAACACTAGTAATTTCTACTATGTACAAATGGCCTTCTAAGATCATGATAGGAAGCAGTATATAGCTTACAGGTTTCAAAGAATTTGCTGTTCTCAACTCATATTCACAAAGTTACTTTAAAAGTAATGCAATTCTAGCTCTACTGCTTATTATCTATATAACTTTGGGCCGGTTCCTTAACCTGTTAAGGAACTATGAAGATTTAATAAATTAACCTATATAAATTTATATAAAGCACTTAAATTTGCATTTGATACACATTAAATAACCAATAAATATTAGCTCTTTTTCTGTGGTTTTATTTTGGTAAAACAAACCTCTGGAAAGAAAGTCAACAAGTGTTCCTATGGTGAAGATAAAATGGTATCATGTAGTGGAATGACGGTTTTCAACAGAAAATAAATGTTTTATGTGGCAAAACTTTTTATTCTATAGCCATGCTCTTGAATTTAGAAAGTAGCAAAGATCTTGAATGAATCTCACAGAAAAGTGAAGATTGTACTTCTTGGTTGAAATCAATTAACAGCCTACTAGGTTTCCCTTGCCTTCATAAAGTGGACCATTCCAAAATCTATCCCCTGCTACGGATATTGTTCCCACTGCTAAAACAATTAGAGTCTCCTCAACGTCAATTTCAAACATGACCTCATGTGTAAATCCTTTCTTGATCATTGTCAAAGACAGATGATTACTCCTGCCTTTGAAATATCCAGAAAACTCCTAACTTCTTATTGCATTCTGTAGTGAAACCATCTATGTACCTATACTTTTAAGAATATATGTGGAAACCATGTATCGCTCATCATGCATTCAACAAATATTTACTGAGTGCCTGTCATGTACAAAGTACAAAGGACAGGAAGGCAACAAAGACATGCAAAAGTAAATGCAGTAACACCACAGTTGTATGTACATTGTACAGTGATGGTGTGAAAGAGTAGTCTCTTCTATACCCATCTACAGTATAATTTGTATAATAGGACTCAGTAAGTATCTGTCAAACTCAATTCCTGCCTGTTTTGGAGTTTTCCTCTAACATTGTAGCTTACTGTGCTTTTCACCACAAACTCTAAAATACTGTCCATACCTTGCATTATAACCTAGCCTCATAGGCTGTTATTAAATATTTTATATATACATGTCATACCTCCTTACATAAACATGTACTTGAAAGCAAGGCTTCCCAGAGCATTCAATACAAATTACTAAGTATTAAATGTCTGTTAAAGTGTCCTACAAAGTCCTAAAGCAACCAAAAATTGTCATTTATTTATTTTACATTGTTAGCAGCATCACTTTTGAGCCACTCCACTTGTGCTCTGGTTCTCCATAAAGCAAGTGGCCTTCACAAAGGAGTTCTTAAAAAAAAGAAAGGTCAAAAGGATGTCTGTTGGAAGCATGAAATTATGCCACCATTCCCAACACAAGAGTCCAGATTCGAGAAGGAAAGATGCATTTCTTCTCACAATTATTAAAGGTCTGGGTCCTTTTCAGGATTCAGATACAAATGCAGATAATGAATTCATTTAGATAGCTAGTTAACTCGGGTGACTATAAGACAATACACACATAAGGAAGCGTTCAATAAATGGTAGTTTCCTTTTTCTCTATTCCTACACTGTTCTAAATCCTATTCATAAATAAGAAAACATCAACTAAACCACTACAATTTCAGTGTACTTAATTAACATTCAGGAGAAATGAATTCCTTGTCCCTATTCATTCTAATCTAGTAGAGAGTTTGGAGAGAACAGGGGTCTATAAGGCAGAGCTCAAATCTTATGTATAAACTCAAAGAATACAAGTAGAGAACATTATGCAACTTAACACTATGTTTACTGGTTTCTACAGTTATCACCTGGTACACAAACCCTTGGATGCTAAGTCACTTACACATTTGGATACAATCATACCCACTAGGATCTAAGATTATACAAACCAGTATTTTCAGTGTACCTAATGTGTTACACAAACCTTCTACTCAAATCTGGCAAAATGTAGGCTTCAATAGTTGTATACCCATTCCAAAAGGAACTCACTTTCTTGTTTTAAATTTATTATAAGTCTTAGTTCTAGAGAAGGTGTTCTTTCTTTTCCACTTCTCCCATCTCTTAATTATTCTAATATCAAGAACAACAGATTACTAGCCAACCTCATATTTGAATGGCACAAATCCCTATTGAACTTTGCCAATATGAATAGAGTTAATGATGAAATTCAATGGCAGTTGAGAAAAAGAGCTTTGAGTTATACCAATCTCAATGTGCAAATACAATAAGTTGCCCTCAGAGTTACATTTCTAATCTATCCCACTTACGTTCCAATCTCTCCATCCTTCAAATTTTACCATTCTGACTTAGTTAAAACTATTAAAACTCTGACCTCCAAGTCCAACATGGTAGCTGTGTTCTCCTGTCTGACGATGTGGGTGTTCATATTACCTGCCAGTTATATGATCCATTTGGCTCTCTAGAGTCTCTGAACCTAAAAGAAACTGGCAACCCATGCTATCATTTTTTCACTAGTTAAGCTTCTAAAGGTGTAGCCTGGAAAATAACTGTATCCTGAATCAAAACAGTTCAGTTACTATTAATCTAAGGTTCAATTTTTCAGTAGGTTAATACCTGAAATGTCAGTTTAAAAAAGTAAACTATGTATTCAAATTGCTTCACAGATATTATAAGAATATAGCCATTCAATATAATTACAGTCCAACAGAGAATACCTATCATATATGGTTTCTTTAAAAACACATTTTCTAAGAAAAATAAATTTGTTCACTAATTATTCTCTGTATATTATTAGCAAGAAACACAATGATAACTTAAATTTGAATGTCAATGTCCATCATACCAATGATATTACTGTATTTCAAACCAAATTTATCCTGTACCTTAGCCCAATTATAATTACACATTTATACATTTAAAAAATTTAGATTTTTAAAAATCCAGACAGCTGATCACTGCCATTATAATCACCTCAGCTTCTCACTTATAAATTTTTCTCCATTCTATGTCTACCCTGGACTTTCAAAAGAAAAATTAGGTCTTTGCAGTTTCTCTAAATAAAAGATAGTTTTAAAATAGCTACATATTTCTAGTGTAAGCCTTACAAGAAGGGTAAAAGCACAGGCTAAAGACAATACATTACTTGCTAATAATATTTCCTCAACACCTAGGCTAAACATTTGTGGATAAATAAGCCACATGTTTTTTAGGTAATAAAAAGTTTTGTAAATGTTTTTGTTTAATTATAGGAAAACTGCTAAAATACATATAAAGAATAAATTTTATTTACTACTCCTGTACTAGCAAAATTGTATTTCAGAGCAAAAGAGGAAAGACACAAAAGATAGAAAAATAGATGGAAATAACCTTGTATACAAAATAAGTTTTATCCTTCTACTAAACTAAAATCAATGTGAAGGGCAAAGTGATATAATGAGCTATTCTAATACCAATCAAAATGTTGCTTCCCATTATACCAGAAGAGCTCCAAATTAAACAATTTTTATCTGAAGCAGGTTAAAGTAGTCACTAGATGTCTACTCCAGTTACTCAATTATTCTATGATCTTTGATGAGAATTTATAACACTTTTAACTCCCTCCCCCTTTCATTAACAGAGATGCTATTAACAGAAATGAGAAATCAACAGATCTTTGATACTAGAGATGATAAAATCTTATTACTATGTAACATTCTAAAAAATTGATTTGCAAAAATATGAAGATATTTTAAAATTTGGAGTTTTATAAAAATTTTGTGATAGTAATAGCTAGCATTTATTGAGCACTTACTATGCGCCAGGCACTATGCTAAGCGCTTTTAAAGTATTAAATACTTCTAAAAAGAAGAATCTTATATAATGAAAAAAATGTGAGTCAAAAATCTAGATTCTATAACCAGAGGGATCTAAAGCAAAAGAAGAAATACTGCTAAACCAAAACAAACAAAAAAAAAAATCATATACTGCTGCTAAGAAATAGGTTTACAATGACAGGCCAAAAGACACAAATGAAACAATCTTATCAAACCAATCAAACCAAAAAAAAAAAAAAAAGAAAAGAAAAATCTTTTAACTTCCTCTAATTGAAAAACAGAATATCTACTTTTGTTTACCCAAAATTCCAACAATACTTTACAAAGGAACATCTAGATACAAAAGATATCAAAATAAATTTCAATCTATGATATACATAAGTAATAACCAATTTAGAATGAGGCTTGAAATAATGAGGTTTTACTATATAGTAAATAAAGAAAATTCTGAAAATTAAGAATTTTTCCTGCTAAGCCCTACAATAAACCCCAAAGGGCAGCATCCATTGTTTTTTATGTAGTAGTTATTTATTTTTCTCTTTAAATAAAGTATCCCAGAATAAATACAAAATTCTTACTTTGTTGCCCGTATAAACTTGCCCCAAACTGAGACAGCTGACCTGATGTAGATGGTGATGCCAGCATCTAGAAACAAATTAATTACATTAGAGCATAAAGAAAGAGCACAAAGCATTGCATTTATATTTTACAAATCTTGTATATCACACCATAAAAATCAGTCTAACACACATTTCTCATTCTTCAAAACATAAGTATGTAATCATGTTTCTTAAGAGATAATAACTAGATAAATCAAACAGCAACTGGAAATAATTTTTAATACAAATTTTCTAAAAATTATACTAACCTAAAAGAGCATTACTGCTTCCCTAAAAAAAGAAAAAAAAAAAAAAAAGCTAACATATCTAACAAAACCACACAAGGATAACATCTCAAAAAAAATCAGTTTTATAAATTTATAAGTGAGATGACTTGATTCCTAGATAATATTAAACGAATTCTAAATAGAAAAGTTTTCTACGTTGTAAGAATACTCCCTGGTTTTTACATACAATTAAATTATGTGTATCAAATTGGGAGAAAAACTGAACAACTACACATGAAGTCATAAAAATGGAGAGAAGATACAAGAGCAAAAAAAAACAAGTAAAAATCATACAAAAACAAAGACATGGTATATGATTTATATAATTTATTGGTAAATGATATGACTTTCATGGTACTTATACAATGTATTTATTGCACCAATATCTTTTTTTCCTAGTAGAATATAAATGAAGGTATAGCATATGAAACATTCATCTTTACATTTCTTCACAGACACAGCAATGTAGTAATACTATATATAGATACTTAAGCTGAGTAAATAAAAATGTACATATGTAAGTGTGTTTATGTATTTCCTGTTTCATATTAGACAACCATCAAAATACTTGCATTAAATAAGGTATGGGCTATGCAATCAAAAGGTTTATAATCCAATGGGGAAAAAGAATGAGTTATACAATTATATTCTAAGGCATGTGTGGCAATGCTATCAAGAAGTATAAAGAATCACTGGAGAAGGTAATTCTGCACAAGAGTGATATATCAGTAAAACTCTATAGGGGATAACATTTGATGAGGGTATAGATGAGGGGCCTACCAGGCCAAGGATATGCAGAGAGAATAAGGTCAGTGAGAAAACAATAAGAAATAGTGGTGGCTGGATAACAGGATAATTAGAAAAGGAGACAAGGCTCATCCAAATAGGGAATATAAGAATGGGAAAAATACAAGAAAATTGGGATCAGAGTGCAAACAGTCTTCATAAATGTTATACAAAGATGGTTACTAAGGATGACAATAAAGAGAAAAATAATATTAAGCAAGGAAATTACATGATCAAAGTAAACTTTGGGAAGATAAATCCTAGAATAGGAACAGAAATGGAAACAGTGAGATATCAAACTAGAACAGCAGAGTAGGACTACAAACAAAATATTCAGACAGCAGAATTAATGGTACTTTTTACATCCTAAAAAGGTGGTGAGAGAAGACTCAAAAAAAAAGAGAGAACTATCTACAGGGACTGCTGTGCTGTGGTTTCCAGGGAAAGAAAATTATGATGACATTGTCCACAGTTAAGAAAACCCAAAGAAAACACATTTAAACAATGAAGTTTATAATATACAGTTCATGTTATTTTCATATCAAAATACTTAAGCTGTTTTAATTATTCTAGATTAGCTCACAAAACTTTTTATGCAATAGTAGTTGTAAACTGGTAATGCACATCAGACTTTCCAGGGGCAGGGCTGAATTACATACCATTCCAAAAACAGCACTATTTATAATACAGGAATCAATTTTCTATTAAAGTATCAAACCTTATAAATATTTCTTTTCAAATCCAGAGGCTGTACAACCTAGACAATTACACTATCATGCAAACTATATATTTTTAATAACCAAATAGATCAAAATGTGAGATCAACTTATTCTTAGGTGTTATAATTATTATCATAATATTAACTAGAAATATTAAGCATGTTAAAGACTCACTTCCAAATGCAAGAACAAGACTCAAAGGAGACACATAATATATAGCAAAGCTTTAGTTGGTGACACAGGAAAAAGATTATTTGGTTTCAAATACAACGGTGAAAATGCATGACTTATAATACATAAAGTGAACATTTTCAAATGAACAACTTAAAACATTACTGCTTTCAAAAATTTATGCCTACTGAATACTTAAACTTAAAAGAACATTTAGTCTACTTTCTCATGAAGATTACAGATGCACAAATGTGTTAAAAGTGTGCCAAGAGATCAGCCCTCTCGGCATGGAAGGACAGAGGTAAGGAGTAAGGCACAACATGAAGGTAGAGTAGTTGTGGTTCAGTTACTTGAGATCAAGAGTAGTAGGGTGACCCATTTACTGTAGTGCATAATATTAAATATCATTTTCTTTATTCTACTACATGAAGGTTTATAAACAGTACATTCCAGGAATATGAAAGTAATTTAAAGAGTTTATAACCTTCAACACTTCCACATAAAATAAGTGATGATTAGCTATACAGATGTTAAAATTAGTGCCTTATAATATGTCAAAAATGCAAAATCATAAAATCTATTCCTAATAGTATATATTTTTAGATGCTGAAAATTTATTTCATGAAATAAATCAGTTCTAAAAATGGAGGGATCAAAGAATGTGAACAGAACAGGAATGCTATTGATGAAAGCAACAAAAATGCACAAGAAATGTACTCTGACAGAGCAATGATTACTGTTAACAGACATCAGAAAAATTATATTTATTTTTAAATGTTGAAATTTAATGATAAAAGGTGAATTTCTGACAAAAATACAAAACCTTAGGACAAGAGACATTACAATAGCTAATGCAGCATAAACAGAGAAAGCCCAGAGTTAGAGTTGGAGTTGGGGTTTGAATTCTGGTTCTGCCACTTAACCTATGAAACAGCTGAAGCTCAGTTTCCTTCCTATAAGATCTCATAGAGTTGAATGTAGAGTAAATGAGATAAGATACAGCACACTGTAAGTGCTCAATAATTGTAGCAGCAGCTGCTAATAATCTAATCTTCCTCTCAGTGCAAGACATTGTTTCTCAGACAGAGGGGCATTAGACTGGGAAATTTATTAAATAACACCCTAAATTTATATAGCTTTGGGCCAAGGAGTTAAACTAAGAAGTTTATCTTCACAAATTTCAGATAAAAGAAGATGCAGAACTTGTGTTTTTTTAAGAGAAGCTAAAGGTAAACAGAAGAGTAAATGTCACATAATCACTAGAATGATGAAACCAATAAGTTGTTATCGTGTTCTCAGTCTAAAACTATCATAATAATTATACATCTTCCATAACTCTCAAGAAATCTATAATATACACTGCAATGAAAATAATAAAAACCGAGAAACAAAAAAGAACTAATATAATGTGATTCTAATTACTTATTTTCCTGATCCAAAGAGCTCCTTTATCTTTTAACATAGGAAATCAATAAAACAGAATTACATTTAAAAATTATGTGCATTATTAATAGATAGAACTCTGACATTCATGACCAAATAGTTTCAATTTTTGTTTAAAAATTAATTGTAAAAACTTAATAACAGGCAAATTTGGTTCCTACCAGATCTCCATAGCAACAAAGTATTAAGTCTTCTACCTCCCTTATTCTTCCTAACAGTGACCACTTCTCAAAAATTATTCCCTCTCTCTGACAAATTTACCTCCAACCATAAAACCTATTTTAAGAAACACTAAATAAATTTGGTCAAGAAATTATATCCTTTGGGCTTCAAATCACAATAAAATTTTGTTAAATAAAAATTCCCTGACAACAAAAAATTTAAAAATGAAATAATTTTTCAAATTATCTTTTAAAAATTCATTGTATGATACAGTTAAATGTATGGTGATAACAAATCCCTATAATTATGTTGTCACTCCATAAAAATATGATTTGATTTTTTTTAACTACACCTTATTTACACACACACACACACACACAAACACACATACTCACACAAAGAAACGAAACAAGGGTATATGCATACAGAATCCTACATCTAGAAAGAATTCAAACTGGTTTGTTTTTTTTTTTGGTACTGGGGACTGAACTCAGGGACACTCAACCACTGAGCCACATCCTCAGCTCAATTTTGTATTTTATATAGAGACAAAGTCTCACTGAGTTATTTAGCGCCTTGCTTTTTGCTGAGGCTGGCTTTGAACTCATGAATCTCCTGTCTCAGCCTCCCAAGCCGCTGGGATTATAAGCATGCTTCACTTACTACACACCTGGCTAGATTTCAAACATTTTAAAAATAGGATCATTTAAAAAATGAAATCTAGCACACAGGCATAGAAAGAAAGACTGAGAAGATAACACATCAAAAAGAAGAAAGGAGCAAGAGAGGGTTAGAGGCAGGAAAAAAATACTAAGGTAGAGAACCTGACAGCTTATGAATTAGATATAATGAGTTTACTAGACAGTTCAAGAAATTTTCCTTAAAATACTTCTATGTTTACATATAGTGAAATCATCAATGTAATTAATTCCTTAGTATTAAACATTTAATAATAGAACTTTTTACTAAAAAAATATGCTTATGAACATCTTTTTATATGAATTCTAGGCTAGAACCAAAGTACAGTTTTATGGAAAGACAAATAATTGGTTTAAATATTTACATTTTAAAGGCATGTAAAATGCATTGTTTTTAACAAAGTCTATTAATTACACTTCCAAAGTAGTCGCCTCAATGTTCTCTCAAAAATGCTGGCTTAGTTTTTCACTTCAAAAAAATTTTTTTGAAAAGAAATCCTCACTAGTATAGACTTAGTGTTATTATGTCAAATTTCCAAAAACAAACAAACAAACAAAAAAATCCTCGAAGATTTTGAATTTTGAATCATTACAGACTTCATGCATTTGAACTAGGGATATTTAACCAAAGTCTAGGCAAGTTAATTTGAAATCTGAAAATTTTCTAATCTGAAGCACTCTGGATAAAGCACACTCAACTGTATCATAGATAATGCTTACTGTTTAGATGGTAAGAATGATGAGGATGATAACACACACAACCAAGCTTTTTGTGTGTGT